ATTGTTTTCAATTTCTAAACCAATTTATTTTCGCTAAAATGTTGAAAAATCAGGTCAGTCGATAGAGAATTAAATTGTCTACAAAATGGTTTATTTACTTTTGAGTTCTGACTTTTTCAAAAATTTCTACAAATAAAACAAAATCATGGAAAAACGTCACGGAATTACATACGCAGGTAGAGTTAGCTGGCCAGGCCGTCAACTATATCGTTCTGGTCTGTTTAACAAAAGATATCCTGATGGCAAAACAAAACGGTCTATGAATAGTCGCCGTTTTGTCAGCGAGTCGTTCATCTTGTTTATTGTACTTTGCCAATAGGGGAGGTAGAGCAATATGAAAAGACTCAAAAATTTTCTCTTCACTTCAGCCTAAAAGCTCATAATATAGTTTTAATAATCCTTCTAACTGTTTATTATAATCAGTTATGTCCAGAAACATGGTATCATTCAACAGCAGAGAAAATCAGACAGGGAAAAAAATAGATGACGAGAAAAATGAAGCCTAGAATGAATTCATACTAATATCATACAGTACCAAGCATACGCATGAAGGTTCTTTTCGTCGGAAACGGTATCAAAACGCGTACAAACGACAAAACAATACAAACATGTTCAATCGAGGCTGGAAATGCATTTCGAATATCCTTTAAATGACTGAAAAACGCGTTTTAAGTATCGATTGAACACGTTTCTGTTTTGTCGTTTACATGCCTTCTGACACCGTTTCAGATGAGAAACACATGGATGCTCTGAGGAAGTAAACTTGCATTCAAAAGATTCATACCAAAAAATGTCAACTCTTAAGAATTGTTAATGCAATTGCAGTGACGTCTCATGGCGACAGTCCTATCTTACACTTAGTGATTAACAGTGACATCTAAATCAAACACGTGAAATTTTCAGTATATATTTGTTAAATGTAAAACCGTTAAATTCCGATACATTTGAGAAAGAGATAGTTCTAAATTTTTTACACTGTAATAACAGTTTTACATGATTTCATGTAGCTCTTTACATAACATCACCGCTAATCGTATGACAGTTATGGCAGATTCAGATAATCTTTCATTGAAACTTGGCACTCTTTAATCTACTTAATTCATGATGTTAATAAACAGTTCTAACTCTTCTCAACAAGAAAAATCGGGTAACGTCAAGGTCAAAGACAAGTATCAGATTATAAAATTAATAGGCAAGGGTAGTTATGGGTAAGTTATTGTGAAGGAAGATTGCAACTTGCGTACGAAACATATTTTTTCCATATGTTCTAGAGAGGTGTGGCTCGTTAATCCATTATCTCCAAATCATAAACCAGCAAAACAATACGTATTAAAACGTATGAGTTTACGTCAACAAACATCGGAACAAGCAGAACTAGAAGGTGCAGAACGTGAAGCTAAGCTTCTTTCATCTTTAAACCACCCAAATATTGTCAGTTACACGGAATCATTTCGTTCACATGATGGATTTCTTAATATTGTTATGAATTATTGTGAAGGTGGTGATGTTTATACAAAATTAAAAGAGCGAAAACAAAAAAAACTCGGACTATTAGACGAAGAACAAATCGCCGAGTGGTTTATCCAAGTGTGTATGGCAATACAATATATCCATGAGAGAAACATACTTCATCGTGATTTAAAAACGCAAAATATATTTTTAACGAAAAATAATATTGTCAAAGTTGGTGATCTTGGAATAGCACGAATATTAGATAATGTAAATGAATTGGCTACAACAATAATCGGAACTCCGTATGCTAATTTGTCTATTTTATTCACCAGTCTATTGTACTTCTATTTATTCCAGGTATTACATGAGTCCAGAAATTTTTTCCAATAAACCGTATGGTCAGAAAAGTGATGTATGGTCATTGGGTTGTTGCATCTACGAAATGACAACATTAGAACATGCATTCAATGCAAATGATATAAATTCACTTGTTATTAAAATAATTCGCGGACAAACACCAGAAACATCGAAGGATTACAGTAAACCGTTAACAAATTTAATTGAATTAATGTTAAAAAAAGATCCTAGTGAAAGGCCTACCGTTAAACAAATCTTACAAAGTCAATATATGAAACAAAACATTATCAGATTATTGGACAAAACAAGACAAAAACAAGCAAATGCAAAATCGGTAAAAAGAAAAGTAGAACCATATGACAAAGCATGTGTGTGCATGAGAGCGATGAGAAACTGTATCCAGTCTTGTGTAACTTCGGTTATTTCAGATAACTATAACGCTCTTTTGACTAAAAGTATATCCATATTCTGAATGTGAATATCATTGCATTTAACTAATGCTTGTTATTAGTAGTTTTAATTGTATAATCAACTTTTCCCTGTCAGCTTCAGGTTGTTTCGACGTCATCTGCTGCTCCAGTATCTAAATCGCCAAAAACAAAACCACCTTTGGATGATTATCACTCGTTGCCTATAACACCATTACCATCGTATGAAGGATCTGATAATAAACTAAGTGATCCACGAGAACGTCGTCGCATGCAACAGCGAAATAATCAAGATGACAATAGTGACACTGATAGACAGTTTATAGCTAGAGTGCAAGAAAACGATACATTAAATCGATTCCGACGAGATAATAACCTACAGCAACAGTCGCCAAAGAATGTAGTACCACAATTAGCGAGTTCATTTGATTCAAATAAAGATGTCCGTAATCCAAACTCCAGTGCTCGTCAACGTCGTCGTAACAAAGTACATAGTCAAAATACAAATGATAGTCAAAATTTAGAGAATGATAAATATTCAGAAATGAGTATTAATAGTGATGCAATTCAACACGAATCCGATAATTCAAAACCAGAAGTACAAAGTTCACATAATGTAGAATACAGTCGTTCATTGTCGAATGAAAGTATTGTGTCTGAAGCAGCAGACGAAGAAAAGAAGAAAGAAAGTGAAAAAGATGTACAAGATTTTCTGTGTATGTTAACAGCAACACTCCATTTACCAAAATCTTCTGATAAAACTAGTTCATCGAATTCGAATATTATTGATAATTCAGTGGCTGCTGGTTTTGCCGCTGTTGATTTAGAAAAAACATATGATCCAATGCTTGAAACTAATAAACTATTGGAAAGACGTGATATATTAAAAGAAAATTGTTTAACAGAAATAAGTCTATCTGAACTTGAATTGTTACTTGATATTATTAATCCAGGAGATGCAACGGTATTAAAAAAAGACATGATCAATATTATTGGGGAAAAATTATATGAAAAATATTGTGCACAAATAGTTACATT